GAACATGGCCGGATCTAATATGCATATAAGAAACTCATCTTATGGATTCTCCAGCTCACAATCGAGCACACAACCTCATATAGCCCCACCAAAGGTTCCAAGCCCACGCAACACGTAATGGGTCAGCAGGGGTTGCCATATGGGTTCCCCCGGATTCTAGGGCAGAGGTGACTCACTGGGAAGCAGATCGGGAAAATGGAAGGTGGATTTCAGCACTAGTAATGCTAGAAATAGAGATAGTGTATGTATTCAATGTCTATGGTCCGAATGAGGTACACGAACGCAAACAATTCTTTAGTGATATTCGGGGTCATATACCGAATGGTATCCCAATTATAATGGCAGGAAATTTTAATGCGGCACAAGATAGATGGATGGACAGATGGAAAATTTCTTCACCATGCCCTGCCTATATAGAAGAAGACGAAATGATTATCCAGCAGTTGTGTGATACATAAAATCTATATGACACTTACCGTAGGTTTTTCCCACAAGAACGATTATTCACGTGTATCAGAAATACAGACACCCCCAATCAATCTAGATCTAGAATAGATTTAATACTTATGTCAGAGGATCTAGACCATGCGCTAGTAGGGGTAAATATTTTTCCTCAAAGCCCATGGCCAAGAGCAGATCACAAGATGTGTGTCATCCTATTGAACTTTAGGAAGAAACCGAATAGAGGGAAAAACTTTTATAAACTCAACACCTCCCTCTTAAAAAGGAAGGATTTCAAGAATTATATTCAGGATGTATGGAAATATTGGCAGACCACGAAAGACAAGCATGAATCCTACACCTCCTAGTTCAACTATGGACTATGCTTCCTAGCAAAAAAATGCAACGAATTTTCCAAAGCAGTTGCTAAGCGGAAACGCGAACAAGAAATGGAGATTCATGAGAAAATACTTAATTACAAACAGCAGGATCATTCGGAAACTATTCATCCATCAGAAGACATACTAGAACTCAGGAATCAACTCTTCTCCCTAGCTCAAAATAGGTGGCAAGGATACCTCATCAGAAGTAAGTTATCCAGACACCAGTCAGAGGGCCAGATGGATTCTTTTTTTTTTGCCCTTGCTAAAGCAAGAGTTAAAAGAACAAATATAGAAGCTCTGATTGATCCCAGGTTATCCCCACACTTCGAACCGGTTTCTTCAGCAAGTAGCCTAAAAGTGGCTTATGACTTTTTAAAAAATCTTTACACATCCACGACTAATCCAGCCATATCAGACCAAGAAATAAGTGACTTCCTCGAACCTCTTACATAAAAATTAACTCTAGAACAAAAAGAGAAATTGGAAGCTCCAATCACTAAAGAGGAAATTTGGACTGCCCTAATGCAAATGGATGAAGACAAAACTTCAGGGATAGGTGGTCTGCGTAAGGAATTCTGGGAGGTAATGTGGGCGAAGTTGGCAGAGGATCTCATGGAGTACTATAAACATGTTCAGGAAACTGGGTGTATGAGAGAGATTGTGGGTCAAGGTATCATAACTGTTTTGTACAAAAAAGGAGACAAGACAAATATAAGGAATTATAGACCAATCACTTTATTAATTGTGGTCTATAAAATGCTAGTTAAGGCAATAACTAACGGATTCATTTCTGTAATGAGTGACGTCATTCGCCCTTCTCAAACTGGGTTTATTCAGGGGAGAAATATACAGGATAATGTGTTGCTAATCAATGAAACAATTAAGTTATCAAGACAAAATCAGAACAATGCGGCCTTTGTATTTATAGATTTCGAAAGAGTTTATGATCATGTTGATTGGCGTTTTCTAGAAGCATGTCTAACCACGTTAGAATTTGGACCGAAAATGAGAAAATGGATCCAGATTCTACACTCGAATGCCGCTACAAGGGTACAAGTGAATGGTTTACTGTCGCCAAAAATCCCTCTTCAGAGATCGGTTAGACAGGGAGATCCTCTGACTCCCTTCCTCTTTATGATCATCATAAAAGCATTAGGAGTTAATTTGAGAAAAAATCCTAACATTCAGCGGTTAAAGATTGCTAACCTGCCTAAGGATGCAATCCCAATTTACTTCATGTTTGCAGATGATTTGACAATCATGATGGTGGCCTCCAAAACTAATTTTGAGAAAATCAAGGCAATAATGGATAGATTTTCAGCCTTATCCGATAAGTTGGTTAATTGGGGGAATAAAACATTGGGCTGGTGGATCCATTCACAAGGAGTAAGACCTCCCGAATTCCTCAATATTAAATGGGTTCCGTTGGAAGCACCCATAAGGGTATTAGGAATAATTTTCACAACACAAGGAAAGTCGAACTCTAATGATATATGGATCTCATCTCCAACATTTGGAAAAAATGAAGGTTTGAAAAAACAAACACACTTCAATCTTTGGGAGAGCACTGATAATTAATAATGTGGTCCTGGCATAGATCTGGTACAAGTCATTGGTGTGGCCTTTGAGTACGACGCCCACAAAAGATATACAAAGACAGCTTGCAGCATTCCTTTGGAGAGGGGATCATGAGTTACCACATGTAATCCCAAGAGTTGTCAAGAAAAATTTAATTCAGCCAAAGACCAAAGGAGGGATTTGACTTATTGACCCAAAAACACAATGTAAGGTTTTAGCGCTTCAAGTTGTAAAACGCTTAATTCTAACTACCGATTTACCATGGCGGGATTTAGCACTGGAACAGATTCGTAGATTAGCCCCTCAAACTACAGAGGAAGTGCATCCCTTGATATGGATAGAGGATGGATATGGGTCTATCCCTCGTACCCGAAGGCACCAAAATGACACAAGGGCTAGGGGTGGACTGGACGGTTTTTGGGCTAACTTATTGAGAACCTGGCGAGAAATGCCCTTACCGGATAAAGCCATACTTGAAAGATTTGAAGAAGTCTTACGACAACCTCTTTTTGGTAATAGATGGATTACTGACCGTAATGGTAGAGTCTTTATAAGCTCAGATTCCCCTTGGTTAAATTGGGTCAAGAATGGAGTAGTAAAGTATAAAAGATTTATGGGACCCAGTGAATAAAACTTGGAAGAGTGTAGAATAACTTAGAAAAGGGATTAAACATGCACACAATCTAATGAATAATTTGGAAGAAATCATGTCATGTATTCCTTTGGCCTGGACAATGCTGCTTAAAAAAGGTCCGGTATTCCGAACAGCAGATTGGGTGTGTATAAATCGTCAGGATGGAGCCAAGTCAATAGGATAAATCATGGATATACAAGAAGCAGGTGGCCTAGTAAATATTTTTAAGATTCAAAAGGACAACAAAATTTCAAACAATGAACTAGACATGGTCATATTTTCATGCTTTGAGGAAATGTTTAGGATAAGAGCTATATACTTTACGAAAAAAAAAAGTGGCAAAATTTTCTACCTCAATATCTCATACCGGAGCTTTCCTTAGATCCAGCTGAATGGGTATGTCGGTTAAACAAGAGAAACAAACCCTTAAGACTTCAATCCTTAAGTGTAAAGGCTTCTTATAGGCTACTTCGACCTAAAGTAGAGGTGTCCGAAATACTACAAGATCGATCATGGTATAGACACCTAAACATCAACAGGGATCTAATCAAACCAGTGAAGTGGTACAAAGACCTGAGGGAGAGACCAACTAAGTTTGCATCCTTACAGTGGCAAATAATACATAGGTGTCTACCCACTAATGATTGGCTAATAGACCATTCGTCTCTTGAACAAAAGGGTAAAGCAGTTTCATGGTGCATAACTTGTGTTCAAGCCTCTCCAAGAAGGAAAATCAGAGAAACAATTAAGCATATCTTCCTTCAATGCCTAGGCTCTGTATTACTTTGGAGATTATGGGACTATGTACGGAAAAAACTAACAAGCTTGGATTGGCCATGGGAATGGAGGGCTATTCTTCTTGGTCACTGGAATCCTGCTATGATTAAGCTATCGGAGTTTCAACGAAATTTATTCCATTTAAGCACGAAAGCGGTGTTATGGGCGTTGTGGCATAAAAGATGTATAGGCACTATTGAAGGAGTTATAGTTGGAAGACAAGAAGTGGGGGATACAATTCAATAATTTATTCAGTCTGAAATAAGATTTCAATGGGAAAAAACGAAAGTCAAAATGATTGAATATAAACAAAAGAAAGATATCACACAGAAAATCAAAAAATTCAATTTGGAATGGTTAGGGGATGCATTAGGGGAGAAATTGGGGAAGGTGGTGTGGCTAGGAGGAGAAGGGGATCAGGTGACCTTTAAGCTAGATTACCAGATCACTTTCTACAACTGGTTTAATATCCAGCCAGGAGCTTCCTTGAGATCACCTGAGTTTTTTTCTGATTCTTTTCCTCCCTCTGCTCTGACTCTAATGGATCTGGGATGGTTTGGGGGGGAAGAGGGGGGATAGGTGATTTCATTAGAAAGGTGGGAGTTGATGGAGATAGATGCTAGGTTAATCATTTTTTTTCTGGAAGTCATTTTATAAGGCTGAAGAGGCATCTAGAGTTCCATGGCTAGTACAACACCCTTCTAGGATACAAGAATTTTGGATTTTGGATTGATATTATTTTCAATCAAAGTTATATGTAAGGGACGTTGGACCCTTTTTCCAGCAGGTGTTGCTCCCCACCAATAGATCGGAGCTTATGAAAAAAAAAAAAAAAAAAAAATTATTTTCTACCCTAATTGTTGTTTCAAACTCACACTGTGATATCTTTTTTTTTTTTTTTTTTTCAAATAAAAACTTTAATGCAAGGCCTCTATTCCAGTGGTGGTGAGAGAACCACTGGAATTTAGGCTTTCCCTATAGGCCTGCTCTATCCATCTATTGGTGGGGAGGGACACCTGCTAGAAACCGGGTCCAGCGTCCCTTGAATACGGCTTCCGAGTACAGTGTTTGTTGGGGCCATGGCCATGTGAGCTGCTACCATGGAACACCATCTTCCCCCCTGAGCGGCTTCGTTCACCCTCCCTACTTATCGAGCTCCTACTTCCGAGTCCTACTGACCCAGCCCTCACCTGGAAGCTTGTTTGTTGTGATTTTCTATCTTAATAATATGGCTAATTGCGGGCGCATGTTGCGTCCTTCTATCTTAATATGTTGTGCTCTGCGTTCTGCCTGTTCCGCCAATGTCGGACGGCCTCTCTTCGGTCGTGGCTGTTTTGGCTCAAGAGCCTTCCTTTTGCCTCGCTGCACGGGCGTGTTGCCATTATCCTTCTCTTTATCCTTGTTTTTGCGCCTACTTCATGGTCCTTCCACCCGGCCCTCCACCCATGTGCCCGCTTGTCGAGCTGCCATCACAAGAACGTAGCCCTCCTCCGTGTACAACTCCCGAGGCACGGGCAACTCGCTGCCTGATCTCCTACGCAACTCTTGCTCGCGGTATTTCCCTGGCTTTGTGCACTCGTGGCAATCACGCCGCCGCGTACCGACGAGAGCAGAATCCTCGTCACACAGCCTCTCGACAACCTCATCGTTGCACTGGAAGGTGCGCCGCAGTGGAAACTCGTCTTCCTCATCATCAACATCCACCACGGCGACCTCTTCCTCGTCCACGTCTCCATGGGCACGCTTCAACCAATCTGCGTACCACTCCTCCATCTCCTTTTCCACCGGGACGTCATCCACCCATGGGATGTGGATATCATCCCCCCTGCCGCTCTGGTGACTCCTTAGAAGGCGAATATTCCAGCTGTTGTACACAAGCTTGGCCATCCTCTCTGGCATGAGCTTCGTGAGCCTCTTACCGTAGATGAGCTCTTGCAAGCTCCACTTCCGCTCGCAAGCGGCTGAAGAGCTTGCCTGGCCGAGCAAGGTCGTGTTTGGAGCCGAACGCCTCCCACCACAAAGCTGGTGGCTGCTGGCTGGCCTAATCGCGCGCTTGCTCCGTGGAGAACCCTCCCAAACCGTTCACCCACTGGTCAACCTGGAAGCTCACTTCCTTCAGCTTATCTCGTGGCATCCAGGAGTACAACCAGATGTTGCGCGTTGTGCATTCGGTGTGCATGATTCAGGAAGGCTGCGGCACAATGCAGCTCGCTGGTCATGAATGACCAGCAGTCCATGAGGATGCGCTTCACTGCCTCGTGCTCCTCACTTGAAAGGTAATCGACGACATGCATTCGTGGAACAACCAGATCCATTTTGAAGTACACCTTCGAAATGGTCGGTCCTTGACCATCCACCAGCCGAAGCAACTCCACCACAGGCTCCATCACATCGAGCGCCTTGTTGAGGTTGCTCCTGAACTCGCCCTTGTCGAGAATGATAGCCATCACCTCGTGGAATGTCACCAACTGGTCTGCTGGTACCATCTTGTCCACCCATCCCGCATCGCAGACACATCGATCCAGTGCATTCAGCCAAACCCATTCAGGGGGGCCCCTATATCGAGTTGATTGTTGTTTGGCCGGGCCCATTCCGGCATGCCCTTATACCGAGTTGCTGGTTGTTGTTCAGGTGGGCCCCTACATTGAGTTGATTGTCGTTCAGCCGGGCACATTCAGGCGGGCCCCCGCATTGAGTTGTTGGTTGCTATTCAGTCAGGCTCATTCTGGCAGACCCCAACATTGAGCTGGCTGCAGCCGATTTGGTTGGAGGATCTATTGAGTTGTTGCTCCTTTCAGACCCCACTGAGGCGATTGGCCAAGCTGGCACCTGAGCCGCACCTCAGCATGCTATCGCCCCAAGGTAGGGCAAACTCGTGGAGAAGTTTCCATATGGCTGCATTGGGCATCAAACTTTCGTCATCAGGGCAAATGAGTCCCACACATCAAGACAAACACTGATGATCACCTATCACGTAAGAGATGCAGGGCAAGGAATAAAGGGAGCCACCGATGACAGGATTACTGACTATATTTTTCGCAGGGAGAGTTACTGGAGGAAACACAGGCTACACGTAGTATTTCCCCAGGTCCCCTTTGCGCCAGGCGGTGCTCTCTTTGATTTTGATGGTTGAAGTCTGAAACCTCTCAGCAAGGGTGGTATCAGAGAGAAGAGGCGTCAAGACAGGAGAATAAGGAGAGAGGTAGCCAGGTTCGGGATACCTATTACCACTTGTTTACAGAGGTCTGAGACATATGAGTCCGACCTAGAGCCCTGCTGTGTGAGTGATGTTGACATGGGACATTACTTCGACCATAATGACCATTTCGTCAAAGTGGACATTTTTTATTTTTTGAACGAAATTGAAACTGAGTTTTTTGGCCGAAAACTCATCAAAATTTGTTGTTCCTGAGGGTCCAGCGTTTTACAAACGTCGGACTCTCATGAACAACAAATTTTGACGAGTTTTCGGCAAAAAAACTCGGTTTCAATTTCGTTCAAAAAATACAAGATGTCCATTTTGATGAAATGACAGTTTCAAGATACTCACAGGGATTGATTTTATAGAATCGGAAGACCGGTAAGCTGCGACGACGGAAGGCGGCATAGCGACGGATCGCATATGTCCTTGCACGGTACTTACTTGAGGGAGACTGAGTTTTATGCCAAGGGAGCCCAAGTAAGAGGAGGTAACCAGCTCCTCTAAAGGGAAGGGGCATGTCCCTTATCTTGGGAATGGCTACAGTCATCTAGTTGGAACAGACTTTGCCATGCAAGCTTTTCGAAAGCCACTTTATGGAGATCATTTCATGGAGGTTTCTTACGACTACATCTATGGCAAGGGACGGATTGAGATTTTGATCGGTGCCACTGGCAACATTTTCATCACCGAGGAGTTGTACCTTAAGAGTGTAGCGGACGATGAGATGGCTAGGTGCATGGTGTACATCCTACAGATTGACCCATCAACCTCTCTGGATATCAGTTACGTGGTCCCAGAGTCGATGGCCACTCAGGTTCTCAATTATGAGGACCAGTGCGTTCCGGACATGGAGTCCCAAACAATCGAGCCCACTCACGAGGGGGTACCGCTCATTGTAATTGATTGAGGCTTGTATCCTCTAGTCACTGTGATGTATCATGACATTATTATTATTATTTATCAGTGACTGCAACCATCCAATGGTTGCTTCTTGCATTCCCTATGTATTTCTCTTTAGTCCCGTGCCTCTGGTCATCATGCTCTTGCAGAGTCTGGTTTCTGGTCTGATTGCTTCTTCAGTGTCGTTTGTTTTATGATGCATGTATGTAATTTCCTTTTTACACTATACAGGCTGTCTCTTATACACATCTAGATGTGTATAAGAGACAGGACTGCAACCATCCAATGGTTGCTTCTTGCATTCCCTATGTATTTCTCTTTAGTCCCGTGCCTCTGGTCATCATGCTCTTGCAGAGTCTGGTTTCTGGTCTGATTGCTTCTTCAGTGTCGTTTGTTTTATGATGCATGTATGTAATTTCCTTTTTACACTATACAGGTTACACTCAAGGCTACTTGAAGGACTTCAGGATAATAGAGACTCCGGTGACCTTGAATCTAACCTTTATACGAGGTCGGGTGCAAGCGATAAAACCAAACGCCTCACTCTAAGTTGTGTCGCTGCTGGCAGGAGGGATAACCCTGACTACTCGACTGTATGATTGAGAGTGACAAAGGTTGTTTTTATGAATGTACTCTTTTATAATTTCCTTTATGCTTACCAAAATTCTGCGTGACAGTCTGCCAGTCCATCAACCCACTGCCCTCGGCCCAGGAAGGGACATCAAACCTGGCCTTGAAAGCGTTGGGGGCGTGACACCGTGCGCATTGGCGGTGGTCGTCTTCCGATGTCTAACCAGACAATGACAACGCAGGCCGACGTGAGGGACGACACCAGTTGTAGACCGCCGCTATGTCAGTGAGTTGGTGTGGAGAACATCACTCGTGGAGTGTCTAACATGCGGACACACAACGATGGAGCAGGTGGTGTTGGTGATGCGGTATACCGCGATGACGACGACGATGGAGACATGAAGGACATCGAAGCGGGGGATGACGATGGGGACGTCGATATTCGGGTGTTGGGAAAGAGGGCAGGGAGGGCAAAAGGGCGCGGGAGAGGCGGTGGTCGAGGTCGATCCGGTGGTCGGGGCGGCAGAGGCGGCGCATCCAAGGACGATGACAAATCGGCAACGTATTGGATAATAGAGGAACAAATGTTTCTTATCAGATGCAAGCGGGAGCAAGACATGTACATGGCTACGCTGGATCACAATTACGGCCGGATGAGAACGAGGGAATGGAAGTGGAAGGAGATAGCAAAACGGCTGGCCGCGTTAAGGACGGTGAAAGACGCCGACGATTGCTTCCGGAAGTGGGGCAATCTCTTCAAGAACTACAAGAAGATAGTGGGATTTCAGGGAAAGAGTGGCGAGAACGATTTATTCAGGCCGCCGAACGAAGAACGAAAATAGCACAATTTCAAGTTCCAAATGGACAGGACATTGTATAACGAGATCCATGCGAGCATGTTGGGTAATCACACTATTTTTCCTCCTAACGTGGCTGACACTGGTTCTCCGGAAGGGGTGCAGTTGTCGACGCGAGGAGCGGGAGTTGGGGAGTCCGTAGGGAGCGAAGGTGACGGTGATGGCTGCCCTGATGAACGGTCGTCAGCCAAGGACTCAGATCAGAACGCAAGCAGCGGGGGCACAGACAGAAAGTGGAACAACGCACGTCAGCAGACGTTTGAGGCAATCGCTGATGTTATCGACCGCCATGGACAACTCATGCCATCGACGATTGATTTATTGAGAAAGCGGCAATGCGGTGTCTTGACTAGGCAATGCGATATACTGGAGCAGGAGGTTGCAATTTAACAAGCGCATTATGGGTTGCGGGCCTTGCGGCTTCTGATGAAACATAGAAGATGATGTGTCTGGCGCTGATGGAGATTGTTGTCGCCATTCGTGGTCGTTCGACGTTGTAGGCGCTTCCTACGTGTGTTGTGTGACGTTCCTCTGTTTCGCTTGTCCACGTTTTCCTTCGTTCTATGATTTTTTTTTTTTTTTTTTTTTTGGGTGCTTGTAAAGAGTTGTAGGATTTGCATAATGCTCGTAGAGATACCAGAGGATGGGTTGGTTCGTGCGATGCGGGTTTTCAAACTTGGTCACTTTCGGTCAGGCGGATTCTCCACCACTTTCTTTTTTTCTATCGAAGTTAATCGCTCGTCTGTCGTTTATTCATTTGTATGGCCAATACTTCGTGTTCACAAGGACGAGACTGAGCTCTCTCTCTCTCTCTCTCTCTCCCTCTCTCTCTCTCTCTCTCTCTCTCTCTCTCTCTCTCTCTCTCTCTCTGTGTGTGTGTGTGTGTGTGTGTGTGTGT